CCCATGGCACTCAAAAGCGTGGCCGATTGCTTCACGTGGCTTAAAGCAGAGAAATTTAAAATAATTCATAATAATTCATTCCCCCTTTGGAGAGGAAAGGTGAAGTCTCACCCGGGGTTTTGTGTTTTAAATCATTTTAATGACTACAGGAGTTCATTTTCATTTCAATCTCACACCAAAGAGAACCCGTTTTGAGAGGGCGGCACCGCACGGCGCGACCCAGGATGAGTTTTAAACCCCCAGCAAGATCCAAGTGTTTCAAAATTAAATCAAATTTAAGATGAAAATAAAAACAACACTTACTGTAGCCAGCTGTGGCAGAATTGCCTCCGTAACCATAACTTCCATATCCAGCACCTAAATTCAAAATAAATACATCAAATACAGCGTAGGAAGGACGCGTGTTTCCCCTCTTATTCCCCATCACTCTATGACATGCAACAGAATATTAATGAGGATTAATTAACCAGTCTGGATTTAATGTGGGGATAAATTGGGATGAGGTAACATCTCACCTGCATTCATGTAGCCACCGTGATTGCCACCGAATCCACCCCGGCCTCTCCCCCGGCCTCGGATGTTGCCGCCTCTTCCGCGACCGCGCATGTTGGGTGGAGGAGGCACTTCGTTGTGCATGGGGCCTCCCATTCCGAACCCCGGGTTGTGCTGCTGAAAGGGAATAAAAAGAGACAGAAAGAGTGAGGTGTGGAGTGAGCTCCAGCTTCCCAGGGGAACAGAAAACTTCCAGGTACCCATCTGCCTCAGAAAAACAATAATAAATAGAAATTAAACCAAAAACAACAGCAGTGGGTACAAAATCAGGGTAATTTCCAGAAAATAGAGGCTGTTTTTTTTTTTTTTACAAAATTCAGTGTGATTTCTACTTCCAAACCCAATTTCTCCTCGCCCAACCCAAGCAGATCCTGATTTCTCCAACACTTTTAATCATTTCCCCTCCCAAAAATGGGATTAAACTCATTAAAAACATAAAGCAGGAGCCAGCGGCGCTACGGACCCGTTAGCGACAGCACAAAGTGATGGAATTATGAATTTACTCACTTTTACAGCAAATTTGGGCCCTCCCCTGGCTGGCACGGGAACTCGTTTCTTCTTGTTTTGCTCGATGGCAACAGGAGCATCTGGGAACAATTTCTCCAGGGCAGCCAGAGCAGCGTAAGCTTTTGCCACCTTTTTATTTGAACCAGCTCCTTGGAATTTCTGCCCGTCAACTTCCACCTTGGAAAGGGATTAAATCGTCACACGTAAGGGGAAGAGGAAGCAAGAGAAGCTGCTGTTTGGTAAAATTAATCATTTTTTTTATGGTGCCTGCAGAGAATTCCCAGAGTTGGAAGCATTCAAGGTCAGGTTTTGAGGAACTTGACCTGGTGAAAACATCCCCACCCATGAGATGATCTTTAAAAAGTTCCTTTTCCAACCCAAACCCTTCTCTGAATTTATGATTTATTATTTTAATTTTTACTAAAGGTACAAAGTCAGAGATGTCCCAGGTGGGATGGAGGGAGAGGAAGGAGCAGGAGTCACCACGCTCACCTCCATGACAAAGCGTTTGTCGTGGCTGCCGCCCGTTTCTGAAATGAGTTCGTATTTCAGGCCGCGCCGCTTCTCGTTCAGCTCCATCACGGGGTTCTTGCCGTGCTTGGTCAGGATTGGTCCCTGTTGTTTCACATTCTGGAAACAAAGAGAATAAAAGTGAGGAAATTCTTGAGGAAAAAAAAAAATACAACTCTTAATGGACCTGAAGTCGCTTCTAAAATAGGACTTTTGGTAAATATCTTAGAATCACTGACTGGTTTTTGGGTTGGAAGGACCTTAAAGCTCATCCAGTTCCATGAGCCAGCAGCAGGGACACCTTCCACTAGACCAGGTTGCTCAAAGCCTCATCCAGCCTGGTCAAGAACACTTCCAGGGAGGAGCAGCCACAGCTTCTCTGGCCAACCTTGTTCCAGTGTCTGACCAGCCTCACAGTGATACTGATCATCATCCAGATCCCTGTGGAGCCCCATCACAGCCAAGGGTCAGAGAACCTTTCCCTGGCAGTTGGGGAGTCCTGCGCAGTGCGTCCAGGAAAAGTCCTTCCCCAGCTTTCTTGTAGCCCCTTCAGGTACTGGGAGGCCGCTATAAGATCTCCCTGGAGCCTTCTCTTCTCCAGGCTGAACAGCCCCAACTCTCTCAGCCTGTCCTCACAGCAGAGCTGCTCCAGCCCTCACATCATCCTCGTGGCCTCCTCTGGACTTGTTCTAACTGCTCCAGGTCTCTCTTGTGATGGGGGCTCCAGAACTGGACGCAGTATTCCAGGTGGGGTCTGAGGAGAGGGGAGCAGAGGGGCAGAATCCCCTCCCTCCACCTGCTGGCCACACTCCTGATGCAGCCCAGGACATGGTTGAAGCAGATCACCTTGGAATGAGTTTGCCTGATGTTTTTAACCTCGTGAATCGTATCGTGACAGTGACTGGACTGTACCATGCTGCTAAAAAGCAGCGTCTGCCGCTGCCCCACAGCATCATCCCAAAGGAGATCGGCCAGTTTCTTCCCCCTCTCCAGTTTCCCCCTCTCACCTCCGGGGTTTGATCTGCAGGAGGAGACGCAGCCGCAGGCGTCGCGACAGTTTCAACTACAGGCGGAGGGGAGACGACGACCGGTTTCTGTTCCGTTTCCTCCGCCGATTCGTCTCCTTTCCCAGACTCTTTGCCTTCCACTCCTGTGGGTAAACCCATATCTTGCAACACCTAAAGGTCAGGAGAGGAGGAGAGGAGATCACTCAACAGCACGTACCTCAAAAAACCTCCAGTTCTCAGGCACCCTGCCCATTTTTGGGGTAAATACTCCAGAGAGCTGTTCAAGAATCCCTCTATGAACTGTGTTTGAGCACGAGGTGTTCCCCAGACCCCGCAGGCACGTCAAGAGCTAGAGGAGGTATGCAGTCCTCCACCCCACGACTTGACACACAACAGACAACAGTCTTGGTGTTTCAAATCACCCCTGCCCATCCCAAAAATGTCTCTGGTATTTTTCAGAGAGCATTTGTCACGGTGACTCTTTTCCCAAGGCAGGAATCCCCGTGGTCAGTTCTTTACCTTCACAGCCACGTGCAGTTTGGCCGTCTTTTTAGAAGGTCCCGATGCCTCGAAGGTGCTGCCATCGATTTCTACAGACATTGTGAAGATGGGAGCGTGAACGGGACCAGTTTGAGAAACCAGTTTATACTGGAGCCCAGGTTTGAGTTGGTTTAGTTTCATCAGTGCGTTCATGGCCTGGGGAGGTTCAAGTTTTTCCTCTGGGATAAGAAAAAAAAAAAAAACAACAAAACAAACCAAAACAAAAACCACAAAAAAAAAAGGTTTGTGGGTGTTTGTCACCTCGTTGGAAAAAAAAAAAAAAGCATGAATGATTTCAGACAAGTTCTGAACTGTTCTTTTTCCTCCTTGTGAGTTTCAATTCTACCAGGTAAAAAAAAAAAATCTTACAGTATTCAGGTTTTTTTTTTCCCCCCCTCTAAATTCACACTCCCCATAACTCCCACTGATGGCATCACCCAAAAGCAAAGCCTGACACGAGTTCTTCCACCACCTGCCTCCCACCTTGGCCCGAGAACAGCTCTGGGGTAGCTGTGGGTACCTACCTCTTGTTAACTCAATACCTTTTTTCTGAATCTTCTTTTTCTTTTTGCTGGGAGATTTCTCCTCTCCATCCTCCTCCATCGGACGCTTCATTGGGGTGACAGCGTAGGTTGTACTGGGAGGAATTTGGACTGTAATAATAATAACAATAAATCTTTTAAGTATTCCAGTTTCCAGCAATAAATGCATGCAAAAAGCTTTGGAAATGTAATTTGGGTTTGGTTTAGGGTGTTTGGGGTTTGTTTTTTTTTTGGCCAAGTACCTACCAGTATAGTCAACAGGATTTTCATTCTTTGGTTTCTTGGGCATTTTGGAAGGGAGGGGATCCATCCCCAAAACTTTGTGAAGTTGACCAAAAGCAGCGAGTCTCAAAGCGTGCTAGAAAGATGAAACGTGTGTTACTGGGAAGCACGAGGAGCTCCAGGGATCTCTGTTCCCTGCACAGTTTCAGACAGGAACATTCTACCCACCCCTACACAGAAATCCTCATCGGTTTAAATAGGACTCTCGGATTTTTTTTATTTAAGTTTTTTTTTTTTTTTTAATTATTATTATTATTATTTATTTAATTTTTTTACTTTTCCAATTTCCACCCAAAAATAAGGGGTGATGGTAACAAAGTCACTATTTAAAACCTGATAACTTTTGCTTCTGGTTGGTCAAGCTACACATTCCTTAGTGGTGTGGGACCCAGTTGGATTTCTTTTACTTGACTAGATATTAAAACAGTTACCACCGACCTCGGTGAGGTTACTATGCTACCGTTAACCAATATATGGAAGTTCAGACTCAATTGACTTGATTCTTTTAAGTTGTTTTTTTTTTTTAACATCTTGTAGGTAAAACTATACCTGAGCACTCTGTGTGATATCTTCCCTTTGTTGTCTGTCTAGATGCCCAATAGCATCAGTGGCTTCTTTTTCACAAGGATCATAAATACCAGAACCATCTGAAGGCAGGAAACAAGGAAGATATGCAGAGAATTATCCTGGTGTTTTCTAAAGAAACTAAACTAAGTATTTCCCTTTGGCATCAATCAACACTCTCTCTCTGTGAAGAAGAACACGGAACTGACATGATCCATCCAATGTCCCAACATTCTGTAACTTGCCTGGACTATATATTTTTTGTTAAACAAGGACAATTCGCAGTGAAGCCGGTCACGATCACTCAGGGGGAAGGGGAAACAAAAAATATCAATTTTTACACTTGTAGAAATAGAAACTGGCACCTCTCTCTACAGGAGGGGGTAAAAAAATAAAAGAAATCAATTTTGACACTTGTAGAAAGTGTAGAAACTGGCACTTCTCTCTACAGGGTGAGGTTTAACGTCGTGGGTCCACAGCTTTGAACACACGTGCCCCCAACTCACACCAAAGTACCCGTGTACGCCGGGGATTTGCCGAGCTCCCGCACGGATTAACAAGGGAATGTTAAACCCCCTCCTCGAAGCTTCAACCAACCCCTGTTTCCATTTCATTTCAGCTTCGTTTTGGCAATGGGAATGCAGAGAACCACCTAACCTGGCATGACGATTCCCGAAGCGAGGCATTCCAGGACTCTCCTCAGAGCCTCGCCGGCGCCCATGGGTCTGTTAGCGGTTCCGATCGATTTCTCACACAGCAGCTCGAGAGGCTGAAAAACAAGTATGGGAAAGGAACAGGTTGGCCAAGGAAGTAGGTTGGCCAAGGAAGTAGGTTGGCCAAGGAAGTAGGTTGCCCAAGGAAGTTGTAGATGCCCCCTCCCTGGAAGTGTTGAAGGCCAGGTTGGATGAGGCTTTGAGCAACCTGGTCTAGTGGAAGGTGTCCCTGCTGATGGCTCATGGAACTGAATGAGCTTTAAGGTCCCTTCCAACCCAAACCATTCCATGAGTCTATGAGTCTATGAAAGTGAGAGAAGCAAAGGGAGGAGCTCACGTTGCTGTTACAGCTTGAAGTGGCTCCCAATTCACAAATGCTTTGACTCTTTACACCCTAGAAAGCGTTAATCAATAATCAATTCATGCTGCAGTTGTTCAACACGCAACTTCTAAGGGCAGAAACTCCATACTCGATAAATCTCTAACTTATGGAAACAGAATGTGCACAAAGAGCTGGGAGAAATGGTCCCAAAATCCCCCCAAAATGAAACAAAACAAGGCAATTACCCATCCTCTCAGCGGCGCCCAGGTAGGAACCCGAGTACAGAGATCCCGCAGCACTCGTATGACGATGACACACGACTTCAACCCGTTAGCCCTGGCCTAGGAGAAGCATGAAAAGCAAGAGAGGTTCTTCAGTTAAAAACCCCCCAAAACTGCTGGTTGGCAGATATTACTCATTTTTTTTGCAGTTCTACTTTGCCAAGGGTAATAAAGAGGATTTCATGTTACCGTGTGAGAACTTACAACAGTAACCCTGGTGTAATAACGAAGGCAACGTTACTCTGAACACAAAGCAGCAGCTACACATCTATTTGTTTTTAAAAAAAAAAAATACAAAAAAACCAAAATTCCCAAACCCAAAAAACACCTGACAATATCCTAGTAGAACAGAAGAAAGTTCAAAGTAGAACAGTATTCTCTTTTAAGTGCTTCTTTAGTGACTGTAATGTGGACAGACACTAAATTCAGCACGTCTATCATCCGACCTTAAATGTTTTATATAAAAAAACCAACCAAACAAACAAAAAAATACAACCAAAAAAAAAGAAATAAACCAACAAGATAGCCCCTTTTTTTTTTTTTTTTTAAAAAAGAGTTTACAAATTTTCTACTTAAAGACAAATATAAGAACAAAATGCAAACCTGGAACCACTTGGCGTGTCGCAGTGACGCCAAGGCAGCAAGGCATTTCTGCCTGTCCAGAACGTCCGGGGAGTCGGTGACTGATAGCGTTTCTAGTCGTGGATGGAATAAGAAGACAAGGCACAGTTTGACCAAGGGGGTTCTGTCAGGCGGAGAGGGGATGAGGCAGCTTCCTAACGGGGCAGTTGAGGCTCCCAAAAGATCCTGATCTAAATATCCTAGGACCTGGAAGGATTGATTCTGCAGTGCGTTCGGCCTCGTTTAGAAATGACAACTGCAGAATGGGGATGGACTGAGATCTGCTCTGTGAGGAGGAGGAGGAGGAGGAAGAGGAGGCAGCAACGGGGCGTGAAACTCGATGGGAGAGGACAGAAATCCTTTAGACTGGAATGAAGTGGTAGTGTATGAGGCCAGTAATAGTTTAAAATTTAAAACAAAATTAAAACAAACCCCCTCTACTCTGCGTTGAGCTTTAGTGGAGGAGAGAGGGGTGGGAGAAGGTTTGTGAGGATCAAGGGAACCCCCTCGGCCCAGAAGGCTTGACTGCCCTGGCCCCAACCCGTGACAGAGAGCGTCCTGTTGGTCAAAGGTCCAGCGTCCCTAAAATTGACAAACTAGAAGGCTTGGTAGACGAAGTCAGATTATTAAAAACCATCAACAGTCAATAGGAGCACAAAAGATATTTTCCAGTCTGTGCTGCAGCAAAATTGGAAGATAAAAAGTTTGGAGAGAGAAAAAAAAACAACAAAACCAACCAAAACAAGCTGCAAAGTTTCTCAAGACCAGGGTTTTAGATAAGGCTAGTGCACAGAGCGGGCAGGGCGGAGCCGCCGATTTCACGGCGCGATGCTTACGTACACCGAACCCACCAAAAAAAAAACCCCAAACCACCAATAAACCAAAAACTAAACCTAAAAACCCGCCTGTGAATTCTTATTCCAAAAGGAATTTGAAAGAATACACGGAGGAGAAGCTAACTTTATCCAAAACTCTGCGTGGCTTTTTGGGAATTGTGGATTTGAGCTGCTGAAAGAGCCAATCGAGGTGAGGGCAGAAGGACCCTCTCTCATTCTTGCTGCAACACAAACTGGGTGGCACATCCAATTTCATGTACATGCAAAGTCATTAAACAAGAAGCCTTCGAGGTTTTCCTTGTGGGTTTGAGGTTGTTTTTTTCCCATTTTTCCATTTTTTTTTTTAACGTATCTGGTCTCTATTTTTACGTCACTGTGCAGGCCACGTACGTGGCTAGGTCCAAAACAAGATTAATACAACGAGATGATGAATTAGTGAACGAGTGGAAAACAAACCAACAAACAAAAAACAAAAGAAAAGGTTGAAAAATAAAAAATAAAGAGTAAAAAAAAAAAAAATCTCCTCTGAAAGGTGCTACTCAGTTTCAGAAGCTCGAAATCAAACTGTAACCATGATCTGATGAAGTTGCTTCTCTGAAAAGAATTTTTGAATTTGAATAAAAAAATCATCGTTCAAAAAAAAAATATCTTTGAATTTGAACAAAAATCTTCGTCTGAAACTGAAGAGCACGCTTTAATTAATTAAATTAACAAGGGAAATGTCTGGGTTCCCAACTGCCTGCTGGCTGTGTGCCATCTCCCATACCTCCAGCTAACTGCTTCTCCATCTCTTCTCTGACTACGGGCGAGGTCAAGTGGATGGTCAACGTCAACGGCGGCTCCTTCGTGTTCTTAATTACGATGGCGGCGTCGCCAACCGACTGGATTATTTCATATTTGTCTTCAGTAATAGCCTGTAAAATAATGTCACCCCTTAGTAATTGTCTAAATCTGTGTCCTTTTAATTTAATCGTCTCTAATTGCGATTTGCAACGGGCCTCTCCCAACAAAAACCCCAGTTTTTGAACAAAAACAAGTTGTTTTATTAGTATACTTTTTATGAACAAAATAAGTTGAGCTAATAAAGAGAAGTTGATGGAATGAGGCAGCGTCAGAACAACAACAATTCATAACAGAGATGAATTTTCCATGAAAAAGGGGATTAAAACATCAACAGCATCTTTAAAAAAATTATAAAAAAATAAGAAAAAGATCTATTTTGTTTGTTTGTGCACACAAAGAGCAACAGGTTTTACTCACAGCAAGCTGTACTCCCAGATTGTCAGCTACTTTCTCCAGGAGATCTGTGGTGGGTTTATCTTTACACAAAAGAACCAACTCCAGATCCAAATCTCCTTTCAGTAACAGGCCTTTTGCTACGAGGCCGACGCGCATCACACCACGTAGGGTCCTGGTCAGCTGCTCCGTGGCCTTTTGATCCCTGGAGATAAATACAGGGAGTATAATCACAACAGCTTCAAAATTAGAAGAATTAATTAGAATTAGAAGCACAGACAGGGTGGGCTGACAGCTCAACACAAGCTCAGGGGTAGATCTGTGAATCATAGAATGGTTTTGGGTTGGAAGGGACCTTAAAGCTCATCCAGTTCCATGAGCCAGCAGCAGGGACACCTTCCACTAGACCAGGTTGCTCAAAGCCTCATCCAACCTGGCCAAGAACACTTCCAGGGAGGGGGCATCTACAACTTCCTTGGGTAACCTGTTACAGTGTCTGACCACCCTCCCAGTGAAGAGGAAGAAGAGCTTCTTCATCCCAAGCTTATCTTAGAATCATAGACTCATGGCATGGTTTGGGTTGGAAGGGACCTTAAAGCTCATCCAGTTCCATGAGCCAGCAGCAGGGACACCTTCCACTAGACCAGGTTGCTCAAAGCCTCATCCAACCTGACCTTAAACCTTTCCAGAGAGGGGGCATCTACAAGATTAAACACGAGGCACGATGTTCTGATGGAGGATTCACCACACCTGTGCAGGAAAAGTCACTTCAACTCCTGGTTTGTTAATTCTTTTTAATTCCACAGCTACAGAAAACAACTTTCCCACCTTTTTTTTTTTAATTTATACTAATTTAAGTATGAAAATGCTACTATTCCCAACACGACATGAGCTCAGCAATGCTCCTTACCCTCCTTCCTTATTCTCCTCATCAGCTGCTGTCTCCATGGACTCTGTTTCTGGCTGTTCCCCGCTGACTTTTTCCTGCTCGTCGATCCAGTCGGACACAGCTTTGAGCGCTCGTTCCGTGTGGGACACCATGTTCTGAACTGCCTCCAGCTCCTCCTGGGTCGGGTACACAGCTGAATGTTTGGCCATGACGTGACGGTCGTCGTTGACAAAAATCCTCATCGGTCGCTGGGAAAATGGATTTTTAAATCAATTTTAGTGAGGGATGAAACATGGGGATTTAATTTGAGAGTCTGAAATTTCCCGTTCCTTACCATTTTTGGTTTTCAATGTCTGTCCAAGTGTTTAAAATGTCCTTATTTAGAGTCTTGCACCCAAAAGGTTGGACTGGAACCACACTTTTCTATAATCTGAAAGGAACAGAAGAGCAGTTAGTGAGGTTGGCAGGTGGTTCTGTCCCCACAGAGCACGTGGAGGGACAGAAATCACTGCTATTGATAATTAGAGGGAATAACAGAAATCAGGAGATTAGCAAAAGCCCAATTTTCTGCTCCTAAGACTTAAATGGTGTCCACAGTAACAACGACAGCCAGGTTTGTCACCCCAAATCACACCAGCTGCCTTCTCCCAGGTCGTTATAACCACTTCATTTACCTGCCCAGGGGTTTAACGAGCGCCGGGTGCTCGTTCACCATCCCATAATTAAGTCGTGGAGCACGGACCAAGCACACTGCACAAGGAAAAAGCTTCAATCCCTTCCCTCTCACCATCTCCCCAAGAAGCAAAGACACCCTAGCAGCCTGACTCCTTGATTTTCCCTCCTGCTTCTCCATCGTGGCCACAAATAGAAGATTTTGGCTCCTTATTCCCATTAAAATGGGATTTTTCCCAAGTTCCCACTCAGTATTTTGAAAACCAAGAGCGCTGAAGGTGATTACCATAAACTAATTGATTATTATATATCGATGACAAGCTAATCACAGGATCCCACAGAGCGGTGGGGGGTTGGAAGTGACCTCTGGAAATCATTAATTAATTAATTTAATCCCCTCAGGTAAAGACCCAGGTTTGCCATCGCCCGGCTGCCAGGTGAGGTGACAGCTTCCATCCACGCTGCTCCCAAGGAATTCTTTGGGAAGATCTCTTGGGTTTTTACCCCAAATTCACCCCGTGGCTTTGTTTAATGAGCCTGCTTTTAATTAGGATTCATACAAGGCATGTTCTGGAGCTGCATCGAGTCTCTTCAATTCCTTCTCAGGAGGGAACGGTTCAAACTCGGTCTCTTCACTTCTTTATTAGTAGAAATTTACACCAGCAAATCTGCTTTGGAAGCCAGAGCTCACAACTCCTGAAATCCAACAGCTTCAGCTGAAATCCAACAGCTTCTCTCTCAACAAGAACCTGTTTTCCAAGGAAATGATCCCATTTCTGTGGTTTTATTTATTTTTTTAAACATTCAGGCACTTTGTTCCTCTGTTTTAACCAAGGGGCTTTCGAGCAGAGAGGGGTTTGAATCCTGCAGGATTGATTTCGGTTTCGTGGGAGAAAAGAGTATCAGAGAATCACAGACTGGTTTGGGTTGGAAGGGACCTCAAAGCTCATCCAGTCCCACCCCCCCTGCCAGCAGCAGGGACCCCTTCCACTAGACCAGGTTGCTCAAAGCCTCATCCAGCCTGGCCTTCAACACTTCCAGGGAGGAGCAGCCACAACTTCTCTGGGCAACCTGTTCCAGTGTCTGACCACCCTCACAGTGAAGAACTTCTTCCTAATATCTCATCTAAACCTCCCCTCTTTCAGTTTAAACCCATTTCCCCTTGTTTTGTCATTAACTGCCCTTATGAAAAGTCCCTCCCCAGCCTTCCTGGAGCCCCTTCAGGTACTGGGAGGCCACTAGAAGGTCTCCCCGGAGCCTTCTCTTCTCCAGGCTGAACAGCCCCAACTCTCTCAGCCTGTCCTCACAGCAGAGCTGCTCCAGCCCTCGCATCATCCTCGTGGCCTCCTCTGGACTTGTTCCAGCTGCTCCAGGTCTCTCTTGTGATGGGCGCTCACGAACTGGACGCAGCATTCCAGGTGGGGTCTCAGGAGAGCGGAGCAGAGGGGCAGAATCCCCTCCCTTGCTCTGGGTGCAGCCCAGGACACGGTTATTGGCTCTGGGCTGTGAGCTCACATTGTCTGCTCGTGTTCAGCTTCTCAAACATCCCAAAATCACCTTCAGACGTGAGCAGGTTTCTGGGAAGAACTTCCCAACACCATCTAGAACCCACCAGGATCGACTCTTCAGCATCAACAACGTTGTGTCCCAAGTGACCAGGGGCAGAATCAGCAATTCCTCGATTCATGGTCATTAATTTGACCAAATCTCTTCAATTAAACTCTTGATTTACCTCGAAGAGAAAGGGCAGAGGCAACTCCAGCCCTGCAAACATCTGATGGTGACTCCAAGGAGGGTGAAATGATGTTTAAAATCATGAGCACAAGTGAGGCAAAGGAAGAGCCTCAGCACCTGAAGATGATGGAGATGAAGGTCATCATCATCCACCACCACTATGACTTCACTTTACAATCAAAACTGCTGGAGAAAGTCAATCACAACTCAATTATTCCAAACCTCACACCAAAATCCCGCTTCTCCACGACTCCTTCCATTCCAAATGAGTCTCACTCAAAATTAAATCTGATTAAAGTTTAGTTTTTTGCTATTTTTTCCACCAGAATCTTCCCCTCAAGTCAACCTGTTCCCACCTCACCGGTCACGGCGACGTCCACCTCCCAAACCCAATTGTTTATAATTAAATGTTGTTTATAATTTATACAAACTGGGTGTTAATCCTGGCTGATCTGAATCATAATTTGTCCAAGATATTGGAATAATTATAAAAAACTAAATAATTAATTGGCCAAATATTAGAATAATGCCATAACTCTATAAATGGAAAGGGTCTGGGCAGGAATTGGGACCTCGTTGAGCTACTTGAGAGTTGGGACTTGTGAACTGGAGAATTTTTTAGGATAAAAAGTGGGAAAATCAGGTGGTTTTTTTAGGGTAAAATTTTCTAGGGTAAAAATCATAAAAATTGGGGGTTCAGCATGAAATTTTCTAGGCTGAAAATCAGAAAAAAAACCCCTTTTTTTGTATTTAAGTGTACAATTTTCAAGGATAAATATAATTTCAAGCTGCTGTCGCTGTCTGGACTTGGTGTCCTACAGCAGAGCAACACCTCCACTCCCAATCCCGCGGATATTTCGGGGCAGGACTTTGGTAATCACCAAGAATCTGGATTTATTTGTAATTAAACTCAGATGTTGGTGCTTGTTGAGCAGGGAGAATTATTCCCAAGGCATCTCAGCGTGTTTGGGGGGCACCAGCTCACTCCTCCTTTACACCAAACCCCTGTACACAGTGATTTTTAATTCGAGTTCTCTTAATTTCCTCCAAATAAGATTAAAAAAAAAATGAGTTGAAATCCAACGAGGCAGCTGTTTGTACAGCCAGAAAATATTACAACAGCCTGAAAAAGAAAAGCCTCGTTTCTGGTGATTTCTAAAGATGAGTGTTATCATTTTTCTTGAAATCACCCAAGTTTTTACCTGGTGAAAACCCCAGAGTTGATGCTGCAGCATCCCAAGATCGACATCTCTCAGGGGAGAGGGGGGAAAAAAAACCACCACAGGATAAGTTAAAAAAACATAAACACACTCAATTCTTGACACTGAGAGTGGTTAAAATTGGAGAAAAAGGAGAAACTTTGGAATTCCACCTGTTTTTTGATGCCTGGCTTTGCTCTGCTCTCCCCCCCCCCACTCCCAGCTCGATTTCACCGACAAACTTCCCGCTGGATCCCGGTTCTCCCGACGTTTCTCCACACGGTGGATGAGAAAACAACAAGCAGAACACACAAAAATTGGGATTTCTACCCCAGATGGAGGGAAAATCTTAACAGAGGCGAAGAAACACATTTGGTTTTAGAGAACTTTTAGCTTTTTAGCAGGAATTAGTCATTTTTGAGCTGTGTTTTGAGCCTGGAAAGGGTGTTTGGGGCACAAAACCTCCACGTTTGAGTTTTGTCTGCAGGGGGGTTTGGCTGCTCCTTGAGTTTTCCCAGCTCTGAGGACACCGACAGCGTCACGGCGATACCTGGAGGATCTTGGAGAGCAGCAGTGAGACGTTGGGAGGGGTTTTTTGGGGTATTTTAGCCTGAATTGAGTCGTCAGGAGGAAGGGGATGGATGAGGAATTTAATGAAGAGGAAGAATTGCCAGGTGGTGATGGGAGAGCTCAGATAAATCCCTGGGGAGTGAAGGTGACACGTGGAGCACGGTGCTGTCCCCAAGGGGACGGGCATTTAAACCACGTTCCCACCTCTCCTGTGTGTCCCCCCCACCCCACACACC